AAAATGCCCATAAAAACTCAATGTGCAAAAAAAATGAAAATTGTATGTATATTCCCATGGACCTGATGAACCTTCATACCAATTTTGGTGAATATCCATCCACACCCTGTGAAGTAGTTATATGGTCATCAACAGAAAACAGACAATACTATTATATTTATGAAGATTACACTTAGTCATTGATAATTATAATTAGGTGATCACAGAGGCTAATATCCATAACAATGATTGAAATTCATTAAAAGAACCTTTACATAATTATACATCTGTCCTAATTCTATCAGAGATTAAATGTTATAGTTTGTAAAAGGTATCATATTTGGGGTATTGATTTGGGCTGGTTGTTTTGTTATTTTATTATATTCTGAAATTCTATTTGTTCTTTTTCAGCATTTTATTTCATATGAAGAATAAAAACTATTACAAAATGTATTAGCTTTTCAGGTCACAGTAGGCTTAGATCTGAGCTGTCTTACTGTTGTCTAGTGGTAGACTGCCACTGAAGTGAGAGTTAGGAAGAGATTGTTGGTAAGTTTTCTTTAATGGTTTCTTTCATAGTTTAATTTTGGTAATAGAATCATGTTTTACTATGACTTTTATATTGTTTACCAATCCAAAAATTGTAAATCTACACCAGTAATGTATAATTTAATAATGTTATTTTTATGGAAAAAGAAGAAATGTTAATATTACATCTTAACCATTTATGATACCTTAAAAATCAAAAGGTGTAGTGTGTCTGTCTTAGTTTTGGGTTACTTACAAGTAATACCATTTTTTAATTTACGATAAGTGTTCCCCTGGTGGAACAGCAGTAAGTCTTCGGATTTACAATGTTAACATCAGGGGTTCGATTCCCCTCGGTGGACACAGCAGATAGCCTGATGTGACTTTGCTATAAGAAAACACACATACATACATACAAGAAGTGCCATTGGAAATGCAGTTTATTGAATGTATTGTGTTGTTATAAATGTTACCCTGTACAGGCAAAAGATATATGTAGGATGTAATCATGCTGAACTCAAAAGCTTGAACAAGAAAAAAAACTTAGCCATTGCTTTTGTGTATTACTGAATTTTTGAAGCAAGAACTGAAAATATTGTAGTTGATCAATCCTTGTTTCAAAATGGATATTCAGAGTTCAAAGCAAAAAAAAAGTGGATAAGTAATACCAAGGTGCATACTCTCAATATAGTTGCCAAAATTTCAGGTATCTAGGTCCTTTCCTCTTGGAGCTATGTGGTTTTTTGTTAGTTTGGGTAAGTAATAATACCCAGGTGCACATTAGTGAATGTACCCGGTTTTGCTTGGTTATTAAGTTAATTTATTCTAGATGACTATGTTAGTAAGTATATTCTGAACTCATTTTAGCATAAAAGTACAACCTATATAGTTTTGTGCACGAACATATGAGCATGCATGTGGATAAGTAGTACCCAGGTGCACACCCTCAGGATCCAGTTAGTATGGGTGCAATATTTCAGGTTTCTAGGTTCTTCCCTCTTGGAACTATGGTGATCAATTTTTTTTCTATGTGGTTTTTCACATAAAATGATATGCATGCATGATCACACAGACACACATACATACGTGTCTGTCTGAGATTTCTATTTGTAATAAAAGGAACCACTTCTTTTCTGTGGTTTTTTGTTAGCTTGCCTCATTAAAAAAATGTACATGCAAGCATACATGTGCACATTTCTTTTCTATATCTTTTTTTTTCACATAAAAAAGATGTGAATGCATACATGCATGTAGATAAGTCATAGTACCCAAGTGCAAACCCTCGTGGTTTACTTAGTATGGGAACAAAATTTCAGGTTTCTAGGTTCTTTGGCTTTGGTGCTACAGTAGGCACATATTCTTTCCTATGTGGTTTTTCCATTAGCTTGCCTCACAAAATGATCGAAATGATGCCAATGCATGTGGATAAGTAATAATACCCAGGTGCACATTAGTGAATGTACCTGGTTTTGCTTGGTTATTAAGTTAGTATGTTCTAGATGACTATGTTAGTAAGTGTATTCTGAACTCATTTTAGCATAAAAGTACAACCTATATAGTTTTGTTGCTCCTTTATGGGATTTGGCCTGTTTATAACGTTATCCTTCCCTCTGATTTTAAACTTAAATAATAAGAAAAAAATAAGAAAAACAAATCTCTTTAATAAACAGAGCCTCTAAATTAGAAAACAATAAATATTTTTTCAATTTTGTAGTTTATTCAATTCATTTTATACTTTCAGCACATAGCCTCTTAATAATAGTATTAGGTTATACTTTTGTTGCTAAGCAACATGATATAAAAGCCATTGATGGAACAAATTGTTATCAAAACACATGACTTTTCTGTATATTGGAAGTTGTTATATAAGGAACCACTTCTTTTCCATTTGGTCTTTCGCTAGATTGCCTCATTAAAAAGACGTGCACACACGCATGTGTATGTCTGTCTATGATTTATATCTATAATTTGTAATGTAGGGAAGCATTCTTTTCTATGTGTTTTTTCACTAGCTTGCCTCATTAAAAAGATGTGCACATGCATTCACACTTGTGGATAACATAAGTAATAATACCCAGGTGCACATCCTCAGAATCCACTTAGTTTGGGTGCAAAATTTAGGGTTTCTAGTTTCTTTGCTCTTTGAGCTATGGTGGTCACATTTCTTTTCTTTCTGGTTTTTTGCATTAAAAGATGTGCACATGCATACATGTAGATAAGTAATAATACCCAGGTGCAATAGACCTTCAAGGTCTACTTAATATGGGTACAAAATTTCAGTTTTAGGTTCTTTACTCTTGATGCTATGGCAGTCACATTTTCTTTTCTATGTGGTTTTTCTCTAGCTCTCCTCATTAAAAAGATGCATTCATGCATGTGCATGGATAAGTAATAATACTCAGGTGCACACCCTCAGGGTTCAATTAGTATGTGTGCAATATTTCAGGTTTCTAGGTTCTTTAATCTTGGAGTTCTGGTGGTCACACACACACAGACCAACTCTTTTATTATTGTACATTAACCCATAAATAATGCAGCATACATACTAGCACACTTGAAAGGACAGTTATTTCTATTAAAATGTGTTAAGTTGTACAGCTTTCTTTCTTTTTTAGATCAACTTCCTTTGACTTAGAAATAACAATCTTCAAGTAAGTTTTTACTTGATGATCTTCTAGTTGATCTGAACCAAGAAAGTGAACCTGAATCCAAGAGGTAAACTAAGTTTCTTTTTCAAGTCGACAGCATTACCTGATGACCTTTGTTTTCTTAAGACATTGGTCAGCTGTTACACTTAGTTAACATTAACCAGCTAGCAAAGAATAATACAGTGCTTTCAACCTAAATGCTACATAAATATAGGTCCAGAGATATAGCTTTTGAGTGGATTGTTTATTTTTTTGTTTAACTTTATTAAAATGTTTTGACCTCTCGTGTGGCCATCATCGGATAACTGCCATCCATTATGTCAAATACTGCATGAACATTTTGTTCCAATTTAGAAAACATATAGGATGACACCTGTGCTTTGATTTAAATTATGTTTTAGTTCACAAATAATTAATGCTTAATTTATTTTTCTTCCATTAATGTTGTTCTCATCGCATAATATTTTAAAGTTGCTTATGATAATTGGATGTTGATTTGTTGTAGTGTGTTCATATACGTGTGATGGAGGATTGTTCTTTGATCCTCATGTTTATATTGCATCCCGTTTTGCTTATGTAAGTGATGTTGCATCAGTTGCATTGACACTTGCAGATGATTCCATCATTGAAGTTGTTATAATAAGCCTTCCTCATATGACCTTTGATTTTAGTTCTTGAATAAAAATAACTTTGCTATTTATATTGTAATTTTTCGATACATGTTACCAAATGTTTATGATGTTTTTGGTTACATAGCTGTAATCTGGTAAAACCCCTATTAGTGTGTCTGAGTTGCATTTAGTTTCTTTCATAGAGTTTATGTTGTTTTCCCTTTCCTTTTTTCTATTATTGAGTTTGTTTTTATATTTGGCTTAGGTTTTAGTGACATTAGGTTTAGGGAAGTGACGTTTGTTAATAAATGTATTAGATATTGATTCTAGTTCATGTTGCAAAGTACTGCTGCTGCATATTTTAAATGCTGTGTTGTTAATGCATGATAACATGCCAGTTTTTTGTTGAATTGAATGGGTTGAGTCCCACTTTTATATAGTTCTTAATATTACCAGATTTGTGGAATGTTTTTATGTTAAAACCCTTAGAGTTTTTGTGATTATTATGTTCATGTAATTTTTAACCTGGTTTTCACTGTCTTTTTCATGAGTAAATGTGATGTTAAAGTGAATGTTGTTTATGTGTTGTAGAAGTGAGTGTTGATGATTGTTGTTTTCAAATCTACAAAATACATTATCAGCATATCTAAATCAATGCGTGGGAGGATGTAGAGCTGTGTTAATGCCCCGAGTTTCTATTTTGTTGATAAACAAATCACATAATCCAGGAGACATTTGTTCATAAGTTCTTACCTTGACAGGTGAAACATATGTTTGCAAAGTGGAACAAGTCTTAAAATTTCCAAGCTCAGGTTGTAATACAATTTGTTATATCCTTTCTAGAGCTAGGTTTATTGTTTCTTCTTTTGGTATCATTGTATACATGGATACTACATCAAGTTGTTGTACATGTCATCTTTGATGTTATTGTTCTTTTTTAACTTTAAAAGTAGGCTATTCAATTGTTTTCCATAACATTCATTAAGGTTTGGGATAGCTTTCTGAATTTAGTTGAATCATTTAGGGTTTTTGTAATAAGTTATTGTAGACTTCTGTTTCTGTAACTATGGCTTTACCACCTTTATCAGCTTTACTCTGATAACATGTGAATTATTTTGCAATTCTATAAGGGCTGATATTTGGTGTTTCAGGACGTTTTGTTTAATTTTATCATTTTTAAGTAAATAACCTTCAATTCTACATGATATTTCATGGATGAAATCTTTTAGGTTTTGATTGTCATTTGGTATTTTAGGAAACCACAACAACTAAATTCTAAGTGTTTTTGCAATATCTTTTTGAGCAGAAGGGACATTATCTACTATAGAGAACAAATAAACCAGAACAAGGCAATCTCAATAACTTTTTGGACTAGGTGTGTATCATAAAACTGCATATAAGATAAATAAATAAATATTTTAAAAGTTCCTATAGCAATAAAGAAGCAAGAAAATACATGATATTCACACATACCACATTTACAGAAAAACATTTTGCTGACTAATTACATCTAACAAGAATCTTCTGTGTAGTTACTTATGAAGTTAACGTTTTTTATAATTAGGTACTGGCAAGGCCTGGTGGTTAGGGTGCCCAAATTTCAATTTGCTGTTCATGGAATTGAAACCTGTCACCAAATATTCATTAGTAAAACATTCACCAAGTTGGTGGTGTTGATAAGTCTGTCACCTAAATTTAGGGTTGTTTAACACTTGAGTAGTTTTTTATAAGATTCAATAAAGAAATAAACAATTATTACAATGAGTATTAGTTAAAAGAAATCTCTTTTAATTGACTTCTCTGTTGTGGTATAGTCTTATTGAATACAAAACTGAATAGTAATGCCAACATTTTGTAAAAAGTAGGTAGCTGTTTCCATCAGTATACTTTTCCAGGAAACAGATTCACATTTTAATTTGGGATTAAGTACATATTGGTGATTGGAAATAGATATTAGTATGAACACATCCATTATCATTAATTAGTTTTTCTTATTTAATTAGTGAAACTTTTTTAACTAAAAAATTATCAACCTGGAAGTGTCAAGAATGAGAATGCTTTTTAAGCTTTTTTCTTTTCAAATAATGAATTTGTAAGCTACAGCTTAAAACCTTAATAATGGAAATTTGCATAGTAACAAAATGTGTATGTGAAATTGTGCAGATTGGTGCTGATATATATATATATATATATATTAACAGTATTCATGATGTTTTCTTTTCCTGATTTTAATATATTACTAGTCTTTGCTTTTACTACCTGAGGCCATGATTACATGTAATGAAACATCACTTTGACTGTTTGAAACTTTAAGCTGAACAAAACAAAAGTGAGTAACTTTTTGGTTTCACTGTCTTAAAGGATAAGCTAAGACATTTCCTAATTGTAACTTGTAAAATAATACAGTGGATTATAACTTATAGCTGATTACAGGACATGTTCAGTCATCTTACAAGTAAACGTTAGCTGTAAAATACAACTTTAATAATCAGAGAGAATACAAAACACTAACTTTTGTCATTATTGTCTTTAAATGTAATTATCAACTTCTCTGTGTATAATATATAATCTAACTAATCTTAATCTTGTGTGCACTTAAGGTGTCTAGCGTACAACTGCATGTCTAATTTATAATTGAAGTAAATAATAATAATTCTAATTCTGCTTCAACAATTCTTACTTGAATATACGTTTCAGTATTGATACTTTAGTACTTAATAATACTTTTTTATTATATTTTGCAAATAAAAATGAACAAAATGTTCAAACCTTCATTTCTGTGTGGCTCCAAGGATTCTTGCCTTTAAATAATATTTCTTAGAATTTTATTTACTCACATTTACTCAGTTTAAGAACTTGTTTCTAAATAGTAATAATTTATATACATGTATAATGTATATTAAGTTATCAAATGTTTCTTAAGTAAAAACTTAATATTTTATTTGTTATTCTCACTAATGATTCTCTGTATGGGTTCAGTAGATTTGTCCGATCTTGTAACCACCATAAAAAATTAAGAAATAAATATAAATTTTGCCTCTTTTGTTCTAGAATGACAACAAATTATAATATGAAAACATAAATGTTTAGACTAAATAGCATAAATGTTTTAACATTATATGTTTATATATATTGATTATTTTTATTATATTGACCTTTCACCCATGCCTGGCTAACAATATAGAAGTTACAATGACGCAGCACACGTACTCTCATTTTACTGTATCCATTAATATAAAACTGACCTTTAGTCTTTACAAAGTGACCTGTCTTGACTGTGTTTTTATTGACTAGTATTTTGTAAAATACAGTCACATTTCAACAAAATATCAATTTTTGTTATTAAGTCTTAAGGTTTCTAAAGCAAAATTTTCTTATGCTTTTTTTTTCTTTTCACATGTTGCCTATCCAACATGCAAAGTAATTTTCATTTTAAGAATAAAAATACTTTTATGTATCAGAATGTTTTCAAATTTCACATGCAAAATCCTTATAATGTCCAAATAGTTAAATATTGCCTTATAGAATTAAGAACTTAAAACTTATATACTATTAAAATATAGATTATTAGCTAAGATTTTATACTACGCTAACTAGTATAACATAAATAAAAAGTAATTTAATAAAATTTTGAATACGAGACACTGAAACCTTATGTCATGCACAGTAAAGGATACCCATGGAAATAGGATTAATTGAAATTACACAAGAGAATTTGATATACAGAGAAAAAATTGAGCATGACTACACACTTGAATGTCAAATTGAGAAGTGATGATAGTACTCTACAGTATAGAGGGAGTTAGCTGTGCTAGGAGGGTGTGTCACACTCCTCTCAGTGGAGGGTTGTCACACACTTACTTGCATGCTACAGTGCAGCTATATAACAGGTAAAAACATCAAGGTTAGGTGTGAGTATCAAGGCTAGTGGCGAGCAAAAATTGCACATATAAAAGGCAGCAAAAGTTGAGAAAAGCTATTATGTGACCAGAAGTAATGTATCATATCAGAAGTTTTTTTTATTAAAAAGCTAAGCATTATATTTTAAGTTCAATTAAATATCAAAACAACTACTTTGTATTTACCAATGTGTCATCTGTTAGTTAAAATAGTTGCTGTTAGTTTAATTAACTCTTTCAGCATGGGCTTGGTACCTAGGACTGACCTCATAACCATTTTGTGCTTGTTATAGTTTACATGCTATAACTTTTCAATTAGTAAGAGTATGTTAACGAAACTTGGCAGATTATCAGTAAATATTACAATGCTTTCATATGAAAAACTAAATTTCCCCTAATGTGACACATTTCCTTGGGTATCTTCTCCTCTTTATTTTATCCACCACCCCTCCAGTAACTACAAAATTAAATGTAAATTATTCACTATAAAATCGTCATTGCTTAGATAAACCATAATTTTTATAGTCTTCAATTTTGTTTGGTTACAGAGTTATCAAATAGAAAATCTGACCTCTCCTGCTACACCCACCTGTCATGTCAAGTGTTTTGGTGTTATGTTCCTTGTATATTACTCTTCTTTTGGATGCCTTTGCTACCAATCTCAATACCAAACTGCCACCTCTTCTGGTCTTTAGTTCCACATGCTTTGGCAGTGGCTGACTTCAGTCAGGATTGGATCAATCTTTACTTTCATTCTTATCCTCCTATTTGTCTTCTTCCCTGTGTTCTCTCCCTTATCAAAGCCACTCCAGGTTGAGTCCTGCTAACTGCCCCATTTTTACCTGCTCAACTATGGTTTCCAATCCTGAACCTCCTTCAGTCATCCCCTTCCATTCCTCTTCCACTTTCTCAATCCCTTCTCTGTCAATCTCAGTCTGCCATATTTCATCCTGTCCTCACCACACTCCAGTTTCACACGTGTATTTTGTCCAGTTAATTGTGAGATTATCCAGATCTACATGGGTATATTCCCATTTTTCTTGCTCAATCTTCTCTTCCTTCCATAACTATTTACCAGAAGAAATATCACATTTTCTGGAGTTGGTTTTTGTATCATGGCTTCTCACCATCCCAACCTAGTGTTTCCTACCTTTCCAAATTCTTTACTTAGCTTTCCGACAATGGGTGGCCTTGTTTTAATACCTTTCCTTTCTCCTGCTCCAATTGCATTGTTTTTTTCTCCCATTCTTTCTCTCCTGTTTCACTATTTTTGTCTGATTCATTCTCCCCATTTAATTCCCCTACCTGATTGGAATCTCAGTGTGGTCCTTCATGCCCTACCTTTCCTCGAGCTGAACCTTTGGCCACTTGTCCATTGTACTACCTTCCCCTCCAGATGTATTTCTTACTCCTCTTTGCAGGTGGAGGTTGTAGTTCAGATATTTTTGCTAACGACATTTCTTGTATCCTATATAATCATAACTGTGTTCTACTTTGTCTGGATTGTAGTTTTACCCCAAGTGATTTACAACTTATAACGGTGAAGAAAATAGTTAGACAGGTTCAAAGGGCAATCTAAAGGACAATAAAACAATAAAATATAATTATAAATAGATGTATACTGTTGTGAGCTTAATGCTACTTAGGATAAACAAATGTAGTCTCATGTTACAATTTGAAGTCATTCTAAAAAAGAAAAAAGGGGTAATTTAGATTTATTTAGATTTTTTTTGGAGGTTATGAGGTCAGTCAAATTGACCGATCATGTATAGAGATAGGGTAGATAAAATATAAAGGTTTACTGAAAACAAACATTTGAAATGTATTTAGGAGGTTTTAGAGATTACACAAAGGAAATTTAAAATTTCTGAGATGAGGAAAAGTATTTTTAATCTTAACATTAAAATCACTTTGTACATGGAGGACCATTCAAAACAAATACTCGATATATTCATGGACACATCTTCATTTTAGTTTATTAAAAATACTTCACTAAAAATATGATTTTCTTGTATGTAAAAGACTTATCATGTTAACTGAAAGACTGCCAAATTTTGTGAAGATATACACACTATATTGAAAGTAAGTGTATTAAATCAATAAAGACTTTAAAAGAATACAAAAAGGTCATGTGGTTGGTCAAATTGACTGAGCCCATGTTGAGAGAGTTAAAACATTATTAACAATATGCTGATGACATTGTTATATGAAATACTACCCCCTAGACCTATCTACGCTACTGGTAAACTCTAAAAGAATTTGAATTAATTAGATTCTTGGTGTTCCATGTGGCAGATTATTATAAATTCTGAAACACTATTGTTTTTTAAACACAAAGTCTGCAAAAATAATAAAAAATACCAGAGAGAGAGTTGATTATAACTACAACATGGTAACATAGACATATCTAATGAAATTAAATCCCTAGAAATAATATTTAATGAATGTGTGACTTGAAAGGTCCATATTCTGTAGGTATATTTGCGGAATATGAATATACCATAGGTTCCTTTGTTTCTATAGTATGATTCTTTGTTCTGAACATGTGTAAGTTTCACACAATACATGTTTAAGTAGACCATTGAGTTTAAATTCGATGACGAGGAACCCACTTT